ATTTTTTGATAAACTTTTGAAAGAAAAGAAAATTGGAAACCCTTACTTATGACTCCTGTGTTCTGAAGTGATTGAGCTATCTACACTTTGTGATGAATTTATCTCAATTCTAGCCACATTATCAGCTGTTTGTRTAACGTGATCATTTCTAGCTAATCATTTCACTCAAAAACCGTTTGGGTTGTATAAAAAGACAAAACCTCCAAAGTAAATCTTTGAGCAAAGGTTTTACCACTCTTAGATTTCTAGTGATTTTCATAGTTGGAATTGAGACAGAATGGTTCTTTTTTCAGCAACGTTTTGTCCCAGCTGATCCATATAGAGATGCCCCTCTCATGTCTTTGAAGGTAAGCTTCTTGACATCAATACAAGTATTCATTCATGATTGTGCTTTCTCTGTTACTAACAAACCATTTCTTTTTTTTTCACAATGTGGCTATCTACCTTGACTTTTGATCAAAGGGTATGTTGTTAGTGTGTTATTCACCCACTTATTGAATTGTGTATTTATTTGTCGCACATTAATTTGTAATAATATTTTAATCAAATTCCTAGGAGATCCCCTCCTCAATTCATGAGTCAAATTCCTAGGAGATCCAACAATAGATGCTCATGAGAAATCCATTGTTAAGGCTCCTCCAGGTTGGACGCTGTGACATGAAAACGAAGAATAGAAAGTTCTGGATTAATCAGAGAATTTATCACGTGACTGCTCTATAATTTAGTCCGAGTAAACGCTCTAAGAGCGTCTAGGTGAAAATACAATCCCTTACTTTTTGTTTCAGGTGTATAGCTGGGATATCAAACAGTGCTAATAGACGAACACAAGAACAAGCAGCAGCTGAAGCAGCATTGTTAGTATCGTCAGCTGACAGTCAACAGTCCAAAAGACCTCCTATTTCTCCTTGTGATTTACAGGATTCACTACAGGTATCCAGCCCAATTCCTTGATTGACGTCGCTTCATCAGCATTTTCAAAAATTTCGAAACAACTTTTTTTTCTTTACAAAAATGATGCTTAGCATCATATTTGCCTTTTTGTTAAAAATGATTTTCTAAAAGGAAATTCATGTGCACTTTAAGTTTGTCAAACGTTTGTAAATGTTCGATGTGCGATTGTGCGAACAGGTATGAAACACATTAAGTTGGTATGCTGGGAGGCCATAGAGTAAATTATTACACAAATCAAGTCTACTAGTAACGAAAGCACAAGGGTTTGGATTGTTACACAGAATTATGAAAATCCTTCTAAAGTTAAATAGTGGCAATCCATTCTCAGTTAAGTGCCAAACCAGCAACCAAGATTTCTAGCTTGACTTGATAGTGGTACATGTGGTATGGTAGACTCACCAACGGCTTCACTTGTCGGAATTCGTGTTTCCAGAGCCACTGTTTTTCGTTGAGCATGCGCAGTAAGAGGGACAGGGGCGCTGGGTTCGATATTGACTAATTGTTGAAATTTTCAAATCGACTGCGCAGATTGAACACTGCGCAGATTGAACATATCTGCACCGATACTAACCGATGTCTGCCGGGGCACTTTGTTCTGAAAAATAAAAGCGCCCTTCGGACAACCAATTTTCGACCATGACTTACATTGCCGTAATGGTAGAGGAATTTGCTGCCCAGGCACTGTTCCTCCCTATTTATATATGTTGTGCATTTTCAGATCCATCGCCGAGTAATATCATCTCACACTGTGTACGCTTCAAATGTGGAAAGAATTCTGTCCCGGCTATGGCACCCAAGTCACGAAGAGATGGAACAGAGCCAGCTACATCGATTAGAATCAAAACGTCGATACGAACGCTTAAAACAGCAAAGGAGCCTTAGACTTTAAGGCATTTTGTAATCTGAAATTTTCACATTTTTTCTAAGCAATTCTGTTGCTTGAAGGCTTATGATTGCTTCTATACCCGCCGCGCAACTTCAACTTGGTCATGTTAGAAACACGCAGGGTTATTGAAACCACTCGATTTGTTAGTGAGAAATACTCCAGGTGAAATACTTAGGCATTTGGTCTGCTATTGTCTGCTACGGGTTAGGTGAAAGG